AAAGGGGTGCTACAGCTACGAGTACCACCCACTTTCTCCTGCTGAGCGCAGACGAAAACGGGTAGAGTTGGAGAATTATATAATGGAAGAGGTACTGGAAACGGAACTACTGATTAAGAGTTACGTAAAAGGAGAAATTGGATAAGAGGCGGGCTAAATGCGGAAGGGAGATAATTCACTTAACTGTACAGTATGTCCAAGCGATATCGCCCCGCGCACCTACGCAGCCTCCTCAATAACAGCGCTACAATACCGGCTGCTCCTAAAATCAATCATGCATTTGATGTTGCACGACAGTTGAAAGTAGCCACTTGATGTTCCATGTGCTAGGTCATTTACTCTAGAAGCCTCAAAATCTGTTTCGATTCTCCTAAATTACTAACACTATGAGTGTGGTTCATTAACCAGGTCGCCAAATGAATAAGATGCTTAAATCAGGTAACCGTGGTAAAATATGCATAAAAACCACTAACAGCCTATTGAATCAGAGAACGGTCTAACTATCCCCAGTTGCAAGTTGGTTTTCAGAGGACAAATAAACAAAGTGCATTGTCAAATGTATTGACTATAGCTATTGACTTTGTGCTATACGAAATATTAATTCCAATTTATTTGCATGAATATTCTAAATAACATCCTTTTCCTAACTAAATAACAGGTTCTAACGCATAGTTTGACCTTTCTTAGCAAATTATCAACAATTTGAATATTGTAAGCAGGCACTATTCTAATGTGTTTTAGTTTATTTCAGCTTTGAATGTGTTTTAACACAAAAGCAAACGCTACAGAAGGCTTGCCGTCAAATCGCGCGACTAATTTTCACCAAGCCTCAGCCAATCGCATCATTCGGCGCATGAAGTAGGAACAAGCTGCTCCTTCTGATTGGCCTATGATGTTGCGCTCGGGAGCCATGAGTCAAAGTGCACCAGTAAAGAGACGGGACATATTGAACTGTAATGCTAACTAGCAAACTGGCAAACAAATAGCATTCCTGGAGGCGATCGTGCATTAGAAACAATCAAAGAAAAATGTTTCATTAACTAGAAAGCCAAATGTTACTTAGGCATTCCATTGACGTGAATATTGATGCTGCGGACATCTTGAAACCGTAACGGACCTAGTACAGGAGTTGTTATTTGGTAAAACTTGGTATTAGAAAGAAAAGCCAAGGTGAACAAAAAGGAACTGAGTTGTGTGGAGTTACCCTAAGGCAGTGTTTACCACTGCGATAGGGTTATTTGGGCAATTTCTCATCAAATTAAAACCCAGTCTTCTGTACCGTTATTAGGAGGATCGAATACTAGAGAGACCTAGGGAGATGAGGGTATAAATGTGCAAACGGGCA